ATCTCAAAGATCTTACAGAAAAATAGGGGATTGCCAACAGTCTAGTCTAGTGAATAGGAAGCTTAAGCGAAGACGTTTTTGAGCTATGCACGTCAACCGGAAGTACGTTTTTGAGCTATGCACGTCAACCGGAAGTTAAGCCTTATATATATATGAAATTTGTATTGCTGAGTTTCTTTTCTCTTATAAAGAAGATCTACCTGAGAGTTTAAACCAAACCACTGTCCAATGATTCAAAAAGTCCACTTCCGGTTGACGTCCGTCGCTCAAGAATGCTGATTCTTAAGCTCCCTAGTGTGGACATAAGTGACTCCACTGATTTCAATCAAATCAAATCTAATCAAGTCATGTATTTATTATGTAAAGGATACAGAAAAGGAAACGTCAGAGGTTATCCCTATCGAGGACACTCCCTGCAATTATCAACAATTTCATATAGCGGGCGTTATGTACCTACCGGCTTCCCTCTGGCTTCCTTCACTGTAAGCTCCGTTTGATAGAGCGTTGAGTCTGTTCACTTTATCGCTGAGACCAGACCTTAAAATTCGGTCAGTCGTGGATTATTTCACGTTCACTATCAACGGCGAAAATTGAAAACAAAAAGTATACGTCTACCAAAAGCGCATTTTAAAATTTCATAGTTGACTAACTTGATATAATTTACTTTTTTTAGCCCGTGTACAGCCGCCGCCTTCCCTCAGAATAATCGGAGAAGGGGCGTTCTCCGATTTTTCCTGAGGGCAGAGGGCGCCGGGCTGTACACAGGCTAACTTTTTGTTGATTTTCATAGGTTTTGCAGTATCTGATGGATTTTGATGCCACTCATTGCATCTCACTGCCTGCCTCAGAATTTCGTCTTCCGTGGGATGAGCAGTAGTGGCTGCTGTTATAGTTAACCCTTTTAAGTCCCAAGAGGGACCAAAATCAATTTTCTCCGCATGTTTTACTGCGCAGTTAAGAGAAAAGGTGATCAGAATTAATATAGTTATCACCTAAAAAATTCTTTGATCTTTTGCCAAATTCTCCTAACTAACTCTTTAACGAAATGTATGAAGATCAGTGTGGAGAATTTGCATGCGGATACTGGGACTTGAAGGGGTAACAGGCTTCCTTCGACTCCGTGACAAACAAACAACATGATTGTTCCTAACCGCTTATTAGCTCGCTTCTTTGTCCTTGACCTCCTAAATGCGCTCAGCTACATGTCATGTCTGGCAGCCATTTGGGAACAAAGGAAACAAGGATTTATGACGGGTCGGGTTTTTTGTGTCAGCTTATCGCGACAAGTTGTCGACTGCTAGTAGACAGACCATGTTCAGCCTCGTCCACAGGCCAGTTGGCGCTTCCCGAGTGCTGAGCAAATTTTCTCGACATGCTTGACAGGCGACGTGAAATCCGAAATCGCGGAGGACGGCTGGGAACGAGACTGGGCGCTGTTCTTTTTAGCCCGTGAAGCGAAATTCGCTCGAGAAAAAATGGCCATGCGCTCTACTTTGGAGCAAGGTGCTTTAAAATGTTAGTGTCATCAACGTTGTAGAAAAAGAAGGGACTGCTCGCAAACTAGACAAATTACTTTTTGTCCAGTTTTTTTTTTATGTATAACTTTTAATAGTTTTAAATTATCATCGAGGCAGTCTCTCTTGCTTCCTACTTAGCTGAATTAGCGAACAAATGGAAAAATAGGCTGCGAATACATTCGTTGCCTCTGGTCGCCTTCTGCCGTTAGGAACATTAGGCGAGCGAAAAACAAATAATTGGATTGAAGAGAAATTTGCGCAGTATCGGGTCATTATACTAGTCAATCTTTAAATAGGATATTTAAGATCATAGTAGAAATCTTGTTTAATCATACTACTTAGTGTTTTATTTAACTCCAATTGATCTTAGCTTTTGTGGAATTTGGTTGTGAAAATTTACATCAGTGGAGTTTTAATAGACTACTTACTCAAAAATATATACCTGAGTACAATCTTAGAGAAAATAAACTGAACGTGATGAAACAGTTATTAAATGGTATGGTCTTTATTCATTGTAAGGTGAAGGGAAACTTAAGGGTGCTTGCATACAGTCTCGTCTCTAATATGTAACCATTGTCGTATCCAAACCTGTCGTTTCTCTTGGTCACGTTAGGGGCGTAGCTACCTGTACGCACAGTACGCAAGTGCCTACCTGAAAAGGTCGAGGTTAAGAAAAATACTAAAATAATCAGATACAAAAGTGAACAATGATAAAAAAAAGACCAAGATAGATAAAAGTTGATTATTGTAAAAACACAGTTCGGCTCAATTCATTTAACAACGGACTGTTTGATTTTTCTTTTTACACCCGAATGTCGGCTTCCAGAAAAGAGACGTGATTCATTAGTGGACCGAGTCGTCATTGGAACCGTATATGTAATATATATGTGGCAAGCATGAGACGCAGTGTTTCATCACAAGATGAAACACTGAGAAGAGAGTTGAAAATACGACGCGCAGCGGAGTATTTTTGACGAACTTCGAGGTGTTACATCTGGCGATAAAAAACTAAGTCAAATGCTTGATGTTAAAATTCGTCTTAAGCAAAATAATTTTAGACGGAGAAATTAACAATGCAAAAACAAGCAGTTTTTCATCTGATTTCCAAACACTCATTAAAGAAAATTTCGTTTGTATTTTCTTTGTGGATTATTACTGCGCTTTTCAGAAACATGCGAACTCTAAAGTCCAAAAGCCGCCTTCACAATTACGTTTTTCGCTGCCGTCAATCATAATTACGATCACAAGCAACGAACCTTGAAACACAGAAACAAACAAAAAGGATCGAAATCCACCAATCACAGATCACAAACAATGACCTTTTGAACCCGTTAAAGTAAAGTTTTGTTTCCTAAGAGGTTCGTTAAGATGATTGACGGCAGTGAAAAACGCAATCGTCAGTTAGCTTTTGAACTTCAGAATTCGCATGTTTGTGAAAAGCGCAGTAATCAGTTTGAGAAATTAAGAGAAACGAAGGGAAAAGCCCTAATAAGCATCTATGTGTGTTTGAAAACGTAGCCTTGAGTTATGAAAGCGATTAACGTGCTTTAGTCAATGAACTCAAAAAAGGCGACAAAAACTTTTTCATATTACTTAGAGACGTCAATTCATATGCAGAAAAACGCTTAGGTTTACAACACCTTTGAGGACATTGGGGGGCGGGTGGAGGGGGAACAGGGGCATTAGGTGAGTTGTGTGTACCTCTGGAAAAATCCTGGCTACGCCCCTTCACGTGGTAAAAGAAGCGAGGAGTGGGCGCTGGAGCCAAAATTTAGCCTGCGAATACAGCCGTCTCTCCTTGCTCATCGCCACTAGGGAAGTTCTAGTTTCAGTTCCAGTTCCAGTTGCAGTTTTCCACCATTTATTCCAAAATAGGAGTAATTTCCACTTGAAAGCTACTTTCATTTTAACTGTGAAATGTGTGTTTTGTGTCATAAATAAAAGCTAGTAAACTAGACAATTACTAAACTAAGCAAAGCCATGAAGAAAAGCTTTATTTAGGCTCTTTTGCGGTGCATATGACATTAAAAATGTATGAAATGTTCACGTGTTGGCTTTTCGTTGTGCCATGCTATTGAAGTCTTCAACTGCTTGGCTTTGTCGGCTTTAAAGCGATGTTATTCGCCATATTTTCGTCAGTCAAATCCTTTGGCTGATTTTCGATCTTATTCCTTTTTCGGAAAAAAACGCTTCCTCAAAAATTCACGAAAGTCTTTCATCTGAGCGAAGTAAATTATGACGTTTAACAGAGGGTTTAAAAATGCTATACTGCCAGAACCATAACGTATCATATAGTCAGTTGAGAAATCACGTTGTGGTTTAGCAATCTGTGTATAAGCTGCATTGACTACAGAGAGAGAGAAGGGAAAAATAAAGGCGAATGTCAGGGCTATAAGAAGAGATATTCCTTTGATTCTTGTGGCTCTCAAATGAGCCTTGAACGCATTGTTCATATTACAAGAAAGTTGTCTTTTACGCTTTATCCATACAGTTCTTATTAAAGATACATTAACGTATATGATGAATACAGTGGGAAGTAGGAATTGTATTGGGAAGAGAATAAGTGTTATTTTGAACGGATAGAAAAGCTCAACATATCGGCATATGACAGTGTAATGAGTGTCGTTAAGGTCGACTCGTATTCCATCGTACGTGGCTGCGGGAAACAGCGTCACAAGAATTCCTAATAACCATGCTGCTATAATCATTTTCCGCACTGTCGAGGTACGGAATGTTCGTGGGATAGGGCGAGTTGACAAATACTTCTCGAGACTTATCACTACTAGATTGTTGATCGTGATGACAGGAAAGACGAAGTTTAGGTATCGAACTATCTTACAAGCCCACCCGCTTTGGAAAAAAAATAAAGGATGAGACAGCAACCTACAAATCCAGTTCCGCCAAGAAAAGCCAGGAGGAAGCAGAGGACGTGTTTTGCCGCGTATGGAGCAGGAGTAAAGACGTAAATGGTGGGACCAGTTGTTTCTGTGTCATTGTTAAAAGATGATATATTCCAAGTCGCTGTGGTAACAAGCCACGATGTTTCGTTATACATGTCAACCTGTTAAAAGAAAACATTTTCATTAAATTATTTTCGACTTTAAATTTCATCTGTTCTAAGCGAACACAGTGAGGTCAATTTATTTTGACCGTTTATTTTTTAGGTAACTGTACTTGTGCTATACCCAATTTCTAAACCTTTAAACTTTTTTTTTTTGACAGAAAACAACATGTTTACAATCATGGTGCTCGCAACACTAGAGTTTAAGAGTGTAGCTAGACTGAAGATAAAATTTAATGGGGTTTCTAGAGTTGACGCTTCCATAGCAACACAGCAACGTCACTTCTACTGATTTTATTGGTCAGTTTTTCAGGGATGTAGACCTTCGTTTTACATTTCGTTATCTTGAGTTGTGCCGCGAATTTAAAATCATCATTTTTTAAGGATGATTTTTCAGAAAATCTGCTGTTGCAGCGTTTGAATGTTAAAAAGAAACGAATTTTAAACCTTTTTTTTTCGAATTTAACCATACACATGTTACAGGCAAAATATTCTTTAGTCTCAAAATGTTTCTTCAGATTTCAAGTATCGTCGTTTAAAGTAAAAGAAATCACTACATCCCGGTTTCAGTTTTATAAGTGTTAGTAAAAACAATTTCCTTTTCAAGTCTAAATAAGAATACAAAAAATTAACATATGGAGGTGCGTTTTTCAATAAACGGCTGCTTTTTCGTTACATGTCAGCTTTTAGAAAGAGAGAATTAAGAGATCTGCTACTTCGAATTATCTAGAAGGAACTCGAATTGAAAAAGAAACCGTTTTGCAAACGGATTTGAGTTTATGAAGAAACACTTGTGCATAAAGAAAAACAACTTCTCTGTCAGTTCAGTTTCCTGTAAAGCATGTTTGAATTTCAAGAGTTGAATTAAAAGGAGGGAACTTGGATGAAAAAATGGATTTCCTTTTTTTAAGAATCACCTGCCTACATGGAAAGACGAAAGTGCTTCTGTTAGTTTTTCTACAAATCAAACAAAAAACAAAACCGACCAATTAAAATTAGATACGAATAACTCAGATTTAGAAATAGCTTTCTTTAAGGCCTACATAGGACCTGATGGTACATTAAACAACAGCATGGCCAATTAATTTTTTTTATCATTATTTTTGAGCAAAAATAAGATACGCACTCTGTAAATTTTTGCATCTTACAGTGTACCAGCCAAAAAGGAAAATTCTTGTCGACTAAACGTGTAAAAGGCATTTTCCTCATTAGGTATCTCAGTTACTTTACTTCAGCATCCTTTCCTTATTATGTACCTAAAGCTTCAACGTTACGTAATAACGAAAAGATACTTTAAAAAGCTATGATTTTGCCCAGTGAGGTAGCTGATAAAGGTCCAAGACAGCTGCTTTAAGAAGAAAAAAATTAAAGGAGGTCTACATCAAATTTCTCACATGTCTCGCTTTTTAATGGATAAAGACATATATGTGTATACGGTATACTATTTCACTATATTTATTTATTTTACTTTTTATGGCATCGATATACACACGATTTTCCTTTTAAATGAGTTAAAATATTCCGGGCCCAGTATCCTTCGATGATTTCATTTTAGCTATACCTAAGTAAATTTTATAGTTTGTGCAGAAAATAAAAGTGCGCTATCGCAAAGTTTTATGAAGGACTATTTCTCACTACTTACGTCTTTGAAGTGCCGCTCCCACAAGAAAACCAGTGAAATGCCCGTTACTTTAACAGGAGCAGAAAAAACTGAACAGTCCCTGGAAATGCTTAGCTTTTTAGTCTATGCATTATTTTAGCTTGCTGTGGAAGATGGGATTCAGTTTTTTTTTTCCAAAACAAAAACGTACTTCAGTAGAATAATACCCACACCAAATGATGTTGTACACTCAAGACTGAAAAGGCACTAAACAGTTTCCAAACCAAAAACAATTAGATAGCTAACCCGGTAACAATTCTCCAAACATAAAGAATGTAAAAAAGTTCGGGAAATTGGCAGATAAGTAGGTAAAGAGATCAAGTGTTATATTTGCGTCAAAGGGAGGAAACGTGACGTGCATGTGCCGTTTTCAACGCCTGGATGGATATTTTTCCCTTATGAAAAACCTGGAAAACTGATCAGAAATGTTTTTTTATCTAATATTGTCGGCTACAGTCAGTGACCATATGTTCCTATAGACCTGTCATTCACTGTTTGCCGTAAACTTGATGCGTAGCCTCTCTTGACTACTAAAAAAACTTACAAGGACTGAAATAGTCATAATGTATTAAACATCACTAGATCCTTTTTAGCTTTGAAAAGGAAAAGGCTTTACAGGCTCTGCAGAGTATTCTTTTTACCTGTAAAACTGTCTTCAGCCGTTCTTCTTTGAAGAACACAATGAAAACTTAACCAAAGCATACGGTGGACTGCTTGTTGCTAAAATATAAATTTATCCCGTTAGTATTCAAAAGTAATACGAACAAACAATCTAGATTTGATACCTCGTAACCAAAAAAGAGGGTGTGTACACAGCTGAAACAAATTAAAAAAGTAAGAAAGAAAGTCAACGCATTTGCACTCGCATTTATTGATGTAATGCGCAAGCTTGGTTTAGTCGATTTCTCCACTTAATTTTTATTGAATTTCATTCTCGGATTAATTTCCTCTTTTCTAAAATCATCCATACGCGATACGAAACATGACGTATTTGTGTCAGCTTATCATTACGACATGAAAATTGCACAATAAAATGAAATTATTGTTAAATTAGTATCATTAATGCCACAAGGATTGTATATTTATGTCACTGTTAACTGAAAATTAGGCACCCAAATAGTATATAGCATGATGTTTTTTTAGATTCCTATAAGTGACTTAATAATCAGTTTCACTGTTATATTTTTTCTTCGATGTAACATGCGGCTTTTGGTTCACAAAAACGGACAGCTGTCACTCAATGCACTGATTTCCTTCGCTTTTATTTCAGTCTATTTCCAGTGCAAACAATTCAGCTTGTTTTTCTTAAAACTGAAACGTCTGCCGATACATTTTTATGACCCAAGGAAAACTGGCGCCTACAGAAAGCCAACAACTGTAAAGTTTACAGTGGAGATCACGACAATAAACAGCACAAATATTTTATAAAATTTTATAAATCAAGGACTAAAAAGCTCGAATTTGATAACCTAGAAGAGAGAAATTTCCAAAACGCATTTTTGTCCACTTTGGCGCCCCGAATTGGAATTTTAAATCGTGAACATGGTTTTTGAGGAGAGGAGAAAAACCTGAGTACCAGCGAAGAAAAGCGCTCGTCCTCGCGTACGTACATACACTAAGTTTCTTCCGTTTGCCGTTGACATATTGAAAGAATTGTTGCTGAAGCCACGTTTGTGTCGGTTTCCGTTGTGGAAACTGTTTAATGTCTTTTTAATCCTGACCAACGTCATTTGGTTATCAAGCCATCCTTAATACGCGTCCATTTTGAATACAGAAATAAATCGTGGGCGAGGGTGTTTCCCACTTGAAACCGCACGTTTGAAGTATGGAATAAACAAACAGACCTGACTTCAACGACCTGTTTGCTGTTCATTTTCTGCTGCACCTGTCAAAGTAAGGCTGGGGTTTTTTACTTCGGCGGAGCGCGAAGTAAAGGATTCGCGATGCTCAGGAATGTATCAAAGTTACAATTTTTTGACAAGATTGGGCAAGCAAAGTCTGTAGGTATTCGGTTTTATCGGCTATTTGACGAAGTGAGAGCCGAATTAGTTTTAGATATCTCGAGATCACTTCGATTTCTTTGATTTATTCTTTAACTTTTTCGAGGAAGAAAGCATTATTATTTTGGTTTTCCCGGGGTTTGAACCGACTCACCTGTATGACCCGTCAGATCAGAGGAGACTCTAAGTTGAGGGATTACCCGATTGCGCTGCTGCAACCCAAGGTAGTTCGGGATAGGAAAAATAGTCATGAAATTATGCACTAGTTTCGAGACAAGATTGGGCGTGCAAGTTCGCGACTTTTCGGCTTGTTTCGGCTATTTTACGAAAAGAAACCGGACTACTTTGTGATATCTTGAGATCATTTCGAGTTTAGTCTTTAATTTACTCGAGGAATAAATAGAGGATATTACGTGGCCGCACAGATACGAAATTTCTCTTCGAGTGTTGAAAAACATTTCACGAGTGAGCCCTCCTTTCGAACTGCTTTATGATGAATTTAAAGTTACAAAATGCTGCACAAAGACATTTTGTCTTTGTTGAGTGTTACGTAGTAAAATTGCTTTCATGCGTTGCGTGACTTTCTCGAACATTCTCTACTTTTTTGGATTATTCATGAATAATTAATTAGGGCATGTTTACATTTCAGCATGAGTCAGCAGATTTGCATCAGTTACTGAAATCATAAAATATGTCGAAAAACTACTACTATTCGCCCGTTTAGTATTTTCTAGAACCTTATGTCAAACGGTATACAAGTTCCAAGCGAGGTCTTTTGACGAACTAAGTTTTTTTCCCACGAGCTGGACTGCTGTGTTTAGTCAAGTGTGACGAAGGTCGATTTTCAAGTTCTGTGTTTACCAGTTGGCGGAAGCCGTAAGATATCTGAAGTTCAAGTGAGAGTTTGTTATTATTGGTAGAGGCTGTTTAGTTTTACTTAAGTTCAAGTCAAGTTTGTGTTGGCGGATGCTGTGTTTTAAAGCTCTG